AATCACACACAAAAAAAAAAAAATTAAAAAATAAAAATAAATAAAAACTCACAAATTTCCCCCTTTCAACAATGCCGAGCGGCACCAAAAAGTACATCCTGAACACGCTGAGCGACGGCCTCGGCTGCGGCGCCGGATGCCGCCGCCCGAAGCTCCCCGCCGTCTTCCAGCCCAGGCCGCGGCGCCACGCCCATCGCCGCCGCCAACACCAGGAGCCCTCCTCCAGCTCCTGGGACGCCGCCACCGGCACAACCTTCTCCTCCGCCGTGGACTCGTCGGACACGGACTCCGACGTCCGTAGCCTGCGGGCCGTGCAGGGGTTCGGCCGCGTCGGCGGCTCCAGCGTGGCGGTGGAGAAGGACTCCGACGACCCGTACCTGGACTTCCGGCGGTCGATGCTGCAGATGATCCTGGAAAAGGAGATCTACGCGCGGGACGACCTCAAGGAGCTCCTCAACTGCTTCCTGCAGCTCAACTCGCCGTACTACCACGGGATTATCGTGCGGGCCTTCACCGAGATCTGGAACGGGGTATATTCGGGCCGGGTCGGGTCCCCTGGCTTTGGTGGGTCATGGGCGCCACGTGACTGCTCACGTGAGCTTTAATCATTTCTTTCCCCTTCCCACTGCTTTTGTGCGTGACTGCAATAAAGAGGTGTGTGTGTGAGTGTGACTGCGTGTCGTCTTNGGTCCCGGGTTCGGGTTCGGGTATCGAGACCCGAATAGTTAATGGGTTTTGATGCCTTTTTCAGTCGTCATTTCTAGTTTACTCTGCTTGGAGTTTTTCAGTGTTGGATCTATATTAGTGTATGTAGATCCAATGATGAAAAGCCTAGTGTATACAATAGAGTGAAATCTATCCGTTTTTAGTTATTAAAGTCTGTTGTAGCTTGTTAGGCGAATGGTGATTAGTTAAGTAGGAACAAGTGGACTCCATTTTCACAGATTTTTTTTACATTTATATCAACTATATGAGCGAGGGAAATGTAAATTTGTTGATTAGGTGGATGTAAAAAAAATCTGTGAAAATTGTAATATTTGTTGCTAATAGTAATTTGATATTTATATATATAACTGCTATTTATGAATGCAATTGGTTTCATTGCAGTGTGGTACTATATATATGCATGGTGTGTATTCTTCTCTTTCTCGGAAAATATTGTTCATGTATTGAGATTGTACTAAGTTTTGTGGGAAACATCAGCCTGAACTTGTTTTATACCATGAGATTACAACAGTTTTCCACCAATTTTTTAATAGCTACCTATCGTTTGAATATCGATTTGTCCACAACACCGGTTTATAACATATCTGTTTATCGAAATATACTGACCAAAATACCGATTTATATCAGATATTTTTAAAAAGATAATTTTTTAATATATTTTTATTAATTTATTTANTTGTGTGACCCTATAGGCCTTCATATACTTTTTTTTTCCGGAATGATAGAGGTAACTATTATAAAACTCAAGCGAACAAAGTTCGAATACAAAGTTCAAACAAATCCGAAGAAGATAAAAATGAGAGACACGCAAGAAGCGGTCTAGAGCCTCAACAAGCCACTAACAATCAAACCAAACTACATGCTAAAAACCATAAAATGAGACTAACAAAGCAGACAATGTGTAGAGACTTCAGCCACTGCCATAAGGCCTAGCAAGGAGCTCCACACTTACACAAACCAGTAAAAAGGAGAAAACATAAAACAGAAAGAACAAGCAAACTAAGAAACTGAAATGAACTCCATCCAGTCTGATTGTACCATTCTGATGAGGGTGTGTTCAGGGATTAAGGAGTGTTGAAAGTGCCATAAGTTTCTTGACTTCCAAAGACTGGTCAAGAGAGCAGACTTGGTACCACCAAGCTTTGAATGAATCTGTGAATCCAGTGAGACCATCCCATTGCAAAAGACTTGGCCATACTCTACTAGCTCTAGGACATGAGAAAAACAAGTGCTAAATTGATTCAGTAGCTTCACCACGGATAGAGCATGTTGTATCCAAGTCAATTCCTCTCTTTTTTAGCTTCCAATGTCTGAATCTGATAGAGGTTTTGGTTCCTAAATTTGAATTGCATTCTGGCAAGTCAGTAGAAAGAAGCCTGAGTGAATTGAGGTGAGCATAAATGCTTGAAACAGGGAAAGAGCCTTTCTTGTCTAAACCCCAGTAGATTTTGTCCTGTCTGAGTGGATGAATGGAAGTGATTTTAAGAATAGCAGCACTATCAGCTTCATCAAAGACTTGTTTGACTAGCCATTCATTCCACTGTGTGCCATTATGCTGCAATAATTCTCTGACCCAAATTAAATGCCCTCTAGCAATAGAAATAAGTTCAGGAGCAGGTTTACAATGGTTGGGTATCCAGTTGAGGTCTGAAATTCTTGTGGTGATGCCACTCCTGATTTCTATTTTGAGCCATCTAGCAAAAACAGGTAGTACTTCCATCCAACAATTCCACATCCATGAACCACTTTGAGTTTTAGTAGCATGAACTAGAGAAGAGTTAGGGAAGTACCTGTCCTTGAGTAGTCTGCTAACAAGGAGATCGGGGTTGGATGCTATCCTCCATAACTGTTTGCATATAAGGGCCTTGTTGAAAGTCTGCAAATCATGAAAGGCCAGAGCACCATTTTATTTTGAAAAGGAGAGGTGATTCCATTTCTTTCAATGAATGCCTTTAGATTGATCAGTTCATGATTTCCACCAAAATTTGGCACATAGTCTTCCTATTTCTTGGCAGAGAGAGGCAGGTAAGGTAAAGCAGGCCATAGAAAAAACTGGTAATGCTTGGATTACAGCTTTAAGAAAGAACCTCCTTACCAGCAGGTGTTAGGAGTTTTGCTTTCCATGAGGTAAGTTTGGATCTGACAGAGGTCAACAGATACTCAAAGACATCCTTCTTTGATCTTCCAATGCCCAAAGGTAGAACAAGGTATCTGATGGACCTATGAGAGACAATGCCATTCAAAGTACTGCAAATGGAATTTTGGAGATGAAGAGGAGTGTTTCTGCTAAAGAAAATTGCTGATTTCTGGAGGTTCACTGCTTACCCAGTAAAGAGTCTGTACTGCTCAAGGATGCTCATGAGATAACCTGCTTGATCAGAGCCAGCTTTGCACAAAAACAAGGAGTCGTCTGCAAAGAGCAAGTGAGAGAGCATAGGGCCATTTCTAGACAGCTTCATTCCTTTCAGTTGATTAGCAGAAATAGAGTTAAGAGTGAGTGCAGTGAGAAGCTCAGCAACAATGATGAAGAGGATTACATTGTTATTTTTAATTAATTTTAGTATGTATTAAAGATTGTTTCTATATTATTTATTTTATAATAATAAATTAATTTAATATTTATTGAAATCGATATAATAGACGATAAAATTGAATGAACCACATACCAGTGGCTCGTTTGGTATGACGGTATTTAAAATAGTGTTTTCCACAACAAGAAAGCATTGCTATAGTCCAAAAATAAGTTTATAAAAATAAACATAAAAAATAAATAATGAAGAAAACAAAAAGAACACACCAAATTGACGAGGAGTTTGGCTAATAATGTTTTACCACCGCCAACGCAATATCATAGGATTAAATGATTTACATATTATGATTTTCTTAATTGAAATTTCCTTATAAGAGATGAGATAAAAGTTTAAGGTGAAATTATCAGAAATCCTATGGCGCCCATATGGGCACCATATGGTACCATAATCTTCATGATCTAACGCCTAATATTCATTGTGGAATTGATAGAATGAATATTAGGCGTTGGATCGTGAGATTATGGCACCATATGGTGCCCATATGGGCGCCATAGAATTTCTGGTGAAATTATAATATAAAGACAATTAATCTATTTATGCAAAAAGGATTTCTTACATCATAGTTACAAATTTGATGCATATAGGAAGTTCTTTAAGACTCGAAAACAGTATTTTTATGAAGTTTTTTAAATTTTATTAAGGCTTGATCAAGTTCAGTTCACTGATATTAATAAATGAATTAAGATCAGGCTCGTCGATTGACTCAGCCCGATAAAGCCTGAACCCTAACTCGAGAATTAAAATTCGAGATCAACTCAAGTCATTTATACCTTTTCATACACTTTTATAGATGTAAGAAGGTAGTGATCAGGTTAAGCCTTTTTTTTTTTTTTCTTTTTAACCATTAATCACGACAACATGCATATATGTAAATGTGTGTGATTGTGTGAGATATAACCATTAATGGCATGATTGAATCTTCTAAGTTTGCACATTAAGAGAGTGCTTGGATGTAACTTTTATTGAGTTTTTTAACTGAATTTTTTGGCCAATCAAAATTAACTTTGAAAAGGTTGTTTATGCTAGATTTGGGTGTGATTTGATTTTGTATTAAAATAATAATTAAAATATAATGATAAAAAATGATTTTATGTAAAGATATGACGGAGGTGATTTGAAGTGATGAGTAGTTAAAATTATGTGAGTTAATGAATATTAAATTAAAGTTGATATGATATGTGAGAATGATTGATTGATATTATTTAGTTATATTGATAATATTTAAGTGAGTGGAGATGATTTAAATTTGAATTAGTTTTATAGTTTAAAAAAATAATTTATTAAAAGTGATTGGATATTTGGATAAAAATTTGTATCCAAGCAACCCACCCTTAAGGAATCCAAATGGTACAAAGTAAATTGAGAGAAGTGGAACTCAAATGGTACAAAACATTTGAGCTCTACTCTTCTCGATTTACTTTGTACAAATAGTACTAGACACTCGACCAATACCCTTCCAAATCTATTTTCTCTCTCATTCAATCTTCTCGTCCAAGACGAAAAAATAAAATATAACAGTCGGCCTCCTCCTCTCCGCCTGTCGGTCGCGACTTTCTTCACTCCTCCGACCATGGGCTGGACTGATGGTGGGCGACCGTCTCCTCCGCACTCTGTCTTTCTGTCCGTGGGGGGGTTCCTGCAACGGCAGGCTCCTCGGCCTCGCTTCACCTTTCTGGTCTTAGGCCGGGGACGGCGACGAGGGCTTCTCCCGTGAGGTGAGTTGGAATGGCTTTTTCGGCTTTGGTCTCTCCTCAGGCTTCAAACTTTTGGTAGCAAAGTTTTAGGTACCCCAGATTTGGTTAACCGTTCGAGCCTAGTCCGAAGTTCTCAGATCTGGAGCTCAAGATTTGTGGTCCTCTTTTTGCTTTTTGTCGCGGGGACTCGTTTGTGTGTGAGAGTGTGTGGCAGTAGCAGAAGGCTTGCGAGAGGCAATGGAGGTTTTTTTGTATTTTATTGTACATGTGTGTTGTTTTATAGTGTTTAAAATGTTATAAATAAATTATGTAATGTAAAGGTTGTTAGAATATCTCTTGTGAGTTGTCCTACATCGTTCATACATGGAAAATAAACTCATTTTATAAGTCTAATGGGTTACTCCTCCTTCCACCAATTGGTTTTGGGATGGAACCCCACTTGAGTTTCATATGGAAAAATAGACTCACTTTATAAGTCTAATGGGCTACTCCTCTTTTCACCGATTGGTTTTGGGATGGAACCCGTCTTGGGCTTTCCCCGCTTATGGTGCGCTTTATGTGAGTGGGACCGCAACTGTTTTCCCTCAGTTTCTTTCAA